ACTTTTTCCTTCAGTACAGTTATTTCTACATTTATGCTACCTCTTATTCAGTGTCAACTGATATTTTTGGTACTGTGTTAATTCCTTCCATCTTCTTTTTATGTTTCCTATGTAAATCCCTGTTTTGTCCGTGGAATATTTTGGCTTGAAGATTTATCTTCAGTTCTTTAAGCTTGTGTAATAGCAAATGTGTTCTTCCTTTTTGTTTTTTCACCTCCAGGTATTTGCACATTTCAGTATAATACTTTGCTTTGTCTTCTTGAGTTGCTCTTTGAAAATCTTCTGTCTAGTTCTCTTAATTCACCATTTCTTTCTTTTGCTTTCCATTAGTGTCTTTACATTAAGAGTTTTCATTTCTTCTGACATTAATTTTGGTGTTTTTCTCAAATATTTGAAATAAAAACAGCACAGGATCATACTTCAACGTGAAGGGTTTTCTTTTGGTTGATAGTAATGAAGAAGCAAGAGGCTAGGCTTATTTATCATGCAAGAAAGGGATTTCTTTTAATTTTTTGCAAGAATTGAAGTGGTCAACCCTAATGCAGTGCAGATCATATCTCTCACTTGACCAAATTTCAGGGTAGTTTCAGTTGAAGTGACTTCAGAGCTGTTGTACATAGAGCTGCAAGTGATTTGACAGCAGTTAACAACAACAGTAACACATACTATTTGGTATGGTAATATTTAAAAGAGAACAAGGAAAGTCGGATAGTTCTTACCAGAATTTTTTCATTTGGGAGTGGCAATAAAAATTATGTGCACGCACAACTTTTTGGCAAAATGGATTCAATTACAAAGGTTTTTGGGATGTCCCACATTACTTTTCTTGAAGGACTCAACATCGCCATCTACTGGAAGGTCATATAACAGTCAGGCCTGGAAGTTTTGATTGAGAGTGCTCAGATTTTGCTTCAAACTGTTTCTTCTGAAAACCAATGTTATGAAGATTTCACTAGGGAACAAAGAGATAAAATTGTTACATTACACAATGTTGTTTCTGTTGTTAGGTGACCTCGAGTTGAGTATGACTCATAGCAACCCTGTGAACAGCAGATCTGACCCTGCCGTATCCTGTGCCATCCTTATCAACTCTGGCATTTTAAAGAACATTGCTAAAGTCTCAGTCTCAATATATCTTATTGGGAATCTTCCTCTACTCTTTTCTGACCATGCATGATGACCCTTTCCAAAGAAGAGCCTCCGTGTTCAAAATTGAGAAACAAAGCTTCACCATGTTTGCCTCCAGGGTATCACCCTTGACTACACCTTCTCTTGGCAATCACTGGAAGATGTGCAACATTTTTAGATCTGAGTACACACCCAGAGTTTTTATTAAAAAAAACTCTTGTCATCCTTTGGCATGTTAACGTTCTGCTTATCAAACTGTGTTCCAACTTGTCTCAAACTTATACATATCTTGATTACATAGTCTAAGGAGAAACATGACCTTTTTAAACAAAACAGAACAAAAACACCTTCCTGAGAAAAAATAATTTGCCTAGTCTTCATTTATTTCACTAAACCAAAGAAAGTTCTTTATTGCACTAGTCTCAGTACGTTATTACTGTAGAATTTTAAAGGGTAAAATATGGGGAAAGGAATGAACTGATTAGCCCAGATAATGAGGAAAACCTGTCATATTAATTAAAAAATATTAATTTAATTATATTAACTAGCTATACAATGTACTTTTTTAAACTCATACCAGTGGCAAAAATCTCATATAAATTATCAGCAAAGATAATACCTCAGAGAACTTAGATTTCTTTGAAATGGAAAAAAAAAAGCCCTATTTAATTTTGAAATATTTTATGACAACTCTTGGGACACTGAATTTTTTGCATCATATTCTATCAATGTCATATTAGAATTATATAAGAATTCCATTGCAATAACATTGATAAAATTAGTCCTAATCCTTCTAGAGAAGGATTGAAAGACCTTATTAGTGAATGATTCAGACAAAACCTATATGTGATCTCTCTCTTGTTGTATATCCATTCACTGTAGAAACAGTTTATAACAATATTGTTCACATAGTGGAGAATATCAAATCCCTACACTTTGTTTCCTCCCTAAGAGATATTAGTAAACCTAAAATATTGGAGTGTAATTCCCATGATAATAGTAGTGTTCACTGGACTTCCTTGTAAGCGTATGGATATAATCCTATCACTCACAATGTTGTACTTCAAGATGGACCTAGAAATTTCTTTTTTGACTATGAAAGCAACTCCATTTTTCCTCACCTTTTCGTCTCCAGAATAATATATGATCATCTAACTCGAAATGCCCCAAGCCAGTCCATCTCATCTCTCCAATGCCTAGTATGTCAATATTTATGTGTTCTATTTCTTTCTTAACAATTTCTAATTTTCCTACATTCATGGTTCTCACATTCCATGTTCCAATTACTAGTGTCTGCTTACAACTGTTCCTCTTCCTTCATATTTCCATGCTTGACAGTTCTACCTAGGTTACCCTTTCTGTTCATCTACGTGTGTTGTGTTTTACATAGGGTTTTCAGAGGCCTGCTATTTCAGAAGTGGATGGCCAATCCTTCTTCCTAGTCTGTCTTAATCTGAATGTTTAGATTTAGAGGAGTATCTGACAGACAGCAATTTGTGGAGTAGTGAAAGATAAATCCCTCATTTTGGAGTTGACCATTAGTTATAGTGTAGTACCTGCCCTTAGCCCAGTGCCTTGACCCACTTATTTTCCAGCTCCACCCTCCAGCAGGATACCACTTCACTTCTACCAAATGCCTTCAGAATTAATCTCCCATTGTCCGACCCATGGCTTGACAGCTTGTCAGAGAGATTTTTTTTTTCTGTGTCCAGTGTCTCTTAAGTTTACTTGTACTGTCTCCGAAGGGAAGGTGATGTGTCCTGTAGAAATCCTGTATAGATTGTGTTTTTCTTCTTGGCACAGGATAGAGCACGGTTTAGGGCTGTTGTACATAGGGTCGCTATGATTCGCAAATGACTTGACGGCACATAACAACAACAACAACAATTCCCATGAAGTAACAATTAATTTCTTTTGAAAAGAACAACACAAAACTTAGATACCTTGTCAGGATAGTATTTCCCAAGCATATTCTTTACCTTCAAATCCTTAAATTAATTTCTTCACTGTTTGCTAAGCTTTTGAACTTGAATGCTCTTCTGACTTAAATTCTCCAGGTTCTACATTCCTCCAGTAAGCACAAATTTGGTAATGTAAATTGAATAGGACAGGCAAACAAATTACATACATGTCTATGATGATGTTGTCTTTTGTGTGAACTTTATTGAGAAACAATGATAAAAAGTATCAAATATGTTCTTTGCTAAGAAGTTATAGCACATTTATTAAATATTGTTCTTTTTCAAGGGAAAAAATAATTTTGCTGCTGCTGAGACCTTCAAATATTTTTATTGTAGTCAAGTTTATATTTAATTATATATACTGAAAAATTTGGAAAAGTAACATAAATTTGATTACTCTAAAAATTTTAAAAATATCTATTTTAAAACGTTAATTTTGTATATATTATTTATTTTCTCTTAAAAGCAAACTTTTTCAACTTATAGCTATGGGTGGTTCTTTCTATAATTCTTTAAAAATTCAGATTTGGAAGCACAATTTTAAAAATAGAGCAACTGTATCTGTCGTAGTGCTAAAGGAAAAGCTTACTGTGTTAGTAAATTTCATAATATTGATTTTATGTACTATGAAATAGAATTCCATAGTAAGTTTTGGGCCCTTTCAATGCTATCAAATAATGAAGGCCATGTTTAAAATCTGTTTTCATTAGCTATAAAGATGCATGTGAGAACTAGGTAGAATCCATAGTTGAGAACAACTCATTGGGCAATATTTTCTTTTCATTGATATTAATTCACATTTTTTACTTATCTTATTGTGAGAACCTTAAGGGACACTGCCAATTACTCTGCTTTGTCTGTAAAGTGTCCTTAACATCTGGGAAAGTTACAATTTTTATCAAAACACAGAAAAATAAAACCAAACGATCAACTCTTAATAAAAAAATGTGACTCATTATTAGAAACGTTTCAAGGAAATATAGCCAACTCCTAATTATCTCTGTTAATTTGTCTCATCACTTGGCTTCCTAAAATGACAGATAAAATTTTTTCCTGATATGCTTTTGACTGATATTACTCCCTTGTGAGTTGCTTGTAATTGTACATTATGGTTCTTCAAGTTGCAGATTCCTTCAAGGCATTATCTTTATCTTTGTAAAAAAGGAAGACCAGCCATGTGGCAGCAGTAACAGTTAAGGAAGTCAGGAGAGTAACAAAAGAACCAGAGAATATGGCTGCAGAGCGGCAGTAAAACTTTGAATAGTACCCCAGGAACATATGATATGGGCAGTCTTTGTGACGGGGAAATAGACATAATACAATTCTTATTTTAAGCACATAGAAATGTTGTTTTGTAATTATGTGTCTTATTGGTTTTATTTGTCTTTTTGGTTTTATTTTCTTTGATTACTAAGCAGTAATATAGGGGTTTACTTTATTAAGACTTTAAATTCTTACTGTATATACTTCCATTGTGTATGCTTATATGTGACTTCCTGGTGGTAGTCTAGAGGGTAAAGAGTTGCATTGCCAACCCAAAGACATACAGTTTGAGTCCACCAAGTGCTCCATCAAACAAATGTGGGCAGTCTCCTCCCACACAATTCATGGCCTCTGAAAGCATGCTGTATGGTCAACTATGAACTTTTTGTTATACATAGGATATAACAACAACACGTGTGGTATTACAGGAAAAAATAGAATATTTAAGAATGTGAATTTTTATGTTTCTAAATTTCAGTGCAGGTGCCTATGGAAGATCTTTAAAAATTAGGGAAAGATGAGAACAAATGTAAAGAATTACAATTTCTATAACTTGACTGACAAAAGAGTCACGATGTTCCCTTAGTTGTGATGTGAGGGTTTTTCGGGTTTTTTCCCCCTTTTCTTTTCACTTTGTATCTGTTTAAGTTCTCAGATGTGATCTCCACAAGTGACAAACCCCTGGCGGAACAGGATTGGTACCATGGAGCAATTCCCAGAATAGAAGCCCAAGATCTATTGAAACAGCAAGGAGACTTCTTGGTGCGAGAGAGCCATGGGAAACCTGGTGAATATGTCCTTTCTGTGTATTCTGATGGACAAAGGAGACACTTTATCATACAATTTGCTGATGTACGTTTCTAGCTTAGTTTATTACATATATACTTTAATGTAGTTCATGATGGTTTAATTATAATAAAGTGATGAATAGTTTGTATTAATTGTCTACAGTTCTGTTTGAATCCCTTAACAACAGTGCTCCAAGATTTTAATAGCATATTATATCTAGTTAAGGAAATGTATACTTAAAATATTCAAAATTAAACTACTTTTTAAAAATTTTAAAAGTATATTTAAATGTCTCATCTAAAGCTTCACTCTTAATGCACTTATTCTCTGATGGGATTTTAATACCTAAGAATTAAAAATATTATAAGCTCAATTGGAACATTAAAACTGCTTTAACTTGAAAAAAATATGTTACAAACAATTTTCATTCTTTTCTCCAAAACAGACTTTTTAGGAATCTTGTGCTTTTTAAGTACACCCTTGAACTGCCTTTAAATAAGAATTATAGAAATTTTTAAGAACTATTTTCTTGAGTAGTGCTAATAAAAATCTTATTGACAGGAAATATCATATTTTGTGAGTTGGATTTGTGATTCATTAAGCATTATATTTTTTTATCTTCTACTGCCTCTGAAAACCTGATGCAAGGTCAGCTGTGAGTTGTTTAACAGTCAGGTGTGGGATATTCAATCTTTTTTTTAATATGATTAACAATCGTTTATAGACTGGGAGCCTCTTGTTTAAACCAATTAGGACCCAGTGGACAGGACTTTGTGCCTTTGTGATTAAAAGTTTGTTGGGGCTTCAGGCCTGCAACCCTTGGGCCTGGTGTGAAGATTGATTTGCTATTAGAATTACAAACTAAATTTTCAGGGTTTTGTGTTTGAGGAGAACATTGTTCTAATTGGTATAACACTTGTCTGTCAGTTTGCTTTACTGAGATAACTTGTGGGTTGTTATGATACTGAAAGCTATGCCACTGGTATGTCAAATGCCACAAGGATTACACATGCAAGTTTTAGTAGAGCTGCCAGATTAAGACAGACTATGAAGCAGGGTTGACAGCCACTTCTTAAATAGTTGTTTCTGTTGTTGTTAAGTGCCGTCGAGTCACAGGCGACTTAGAGCAACCCTATGAAGGAGAGTCCTCGATGCTTGGGTGCCTTTCATCCTCTCTCCAAGTTCATAGGCTTTCCGGAGGCATGCTATTATGGAAGTGGATACCACTCCTCCTTCCTCTTAAATAGTAGGTCTCTGAAAATCCTATGAATAATATTTCTTGGAGAAAGTGCAGCCAGAGTGCTTTTGGGAGGTAAAAATGATAAAGCTTCACCATATACTTTGGGTATGTTCCTAGAAGGGGATATTCTTTATAGACAGACATGATGCTCAGAAAAGCAGTGTGTCAGCAGGAGAGAAAAACCCAGCAAGGTGGAATGATACAGTGATTGCTGCAATGGAATCTAGTGTGTCAGAAAGTATGAGAATTATACAAGGTAGCACAGGGTTCTTACCTGTTGTTCATAGGGTTGTTCTTGGGAGTACTCAGCTCAACAGCAACTAACAATAACATGTTGTTGTGGTTGTTATATGTCATTGAGTTTCCTGCAACTCATAGCGACCATATGTATAACAGCCCTAAACCCTGCTCTATGCTGTGCCAATCTTGTTGTCTCTGACAAACTTACTCACATTAACCCAGTCACAAAATCAATCCATCTCACCCAGGGTCCTCTTCACCTGAGCTGACTCTCCACCCTCCCAAGCATGACATCCCTCTCCAAGGACTGGTCCCTCCTTGCAACATTTACATAATATGTCAGACAAAGCTTCACAATCCTTGCCTCCAAGGAACAACCTGGTTTTACCCTTCTGGGAAGAACATGTTTGTTCTCTTAGCAGCCCTGGTATATTCAATACTCTTCTCTTGCACCACAGCTCAAAGGCATCAATTCTCTTACTGTCATCCACAGTCATTGTCTAGCTTTCTGATGCATAGCATGTGACTGCACAGACTATGGCCTGGATCAGATGCACCTTAGTCTCCAGACCTACATCATTGCTCTTCAGTACTTTGGTGATGTTTCTGACAGTAAACTTCCCCAGTGCATGCTGTCTTTAAATTTCCTGACTGCACGTATCAAGAGTGTTGAATAGCATAGAAGCTCTAAATTGTAGTCATTGTTTTTACTGTAGTGTACCTTTGAGTTGGAACCATTGTTGTTGAGTGCTTTTGAGTTGGAACCTATCCATAACTACCCCTCCAGTGAGTTTTCAGAGACAGTTTAATCCCATTAGAGGAGATGGCCCATCTTCCCATGAAACAGCTGGTGGATTTGAACCATGTGCCTTTGGAAGTGCAGCATGTTTTCTTATCATTAGGCAACCAGAGGTCCCTATGTAGTCATTGTTGTTATTGTTATGTGCTGTCAAGTCGACTGTGACTCATAGTTATCCTATAAACCATGGCTCAGAACCTTGTGCTATCCTAAACCAACTTCTCTTTCTTACACACCTAATCTCACTGTCATAGTCTCTATGTCATTCCATCTTATTGAGCGTCATCTTCTCCTGCTGACCTTCTACCCTTCAAGTATGATAACCTTCTTCAAGTCCTAGTCCCTCCTGGAAACACATCCAAAGCATATGAGACAGAGCTTCACAGTCCTTGCCTCCAAGGAGCAAACTGGTTTCACTCTCTCCAGGAAAGAACTGTTTGTTCTCTTGGTAGTGAGTGGTATGTTGAATACACTTCTCCAGAACCACAACTCAAAGGCATCAGTTCTTCTGTTTTCTTTATTTGTCATCCAGCTTTCAGATGCAAAGCAAACAAATGAGAAGACCATGGCCAGGATCAGGCACACCTTAGTCTCTAAACAGACATTGTTGCTCATTAGCATTCTGGAGCGGTCCTTCGTAACAGATTCCCAATGTTAACTCATCTTTTGATTTCTTTACAGCTGGTACAAAGAGTGTTGATTGTGGACCTAATCAAGGTGAAATTGTTACCTCAGTCTTTTCTCCATGTATCGTGACACTGTCTATTAGCCTGGTTGGTTTTAAAAAAAAAAAAGAAAGGAAGAAGTTCTCTCTGTATATATTGCATCCTCTAATGTTCCTTTTTGGAAGGAGGAGTGGTATCCATTTCCATAATAGCTTGCCTCCGGAAACCCTATGAACCTAGAGAGGAGGAAAGGCACCCAAGCGTTGAGGACTCTCCTTCATAGAGTCGCTGTGAGTCGCCTGTGACTCAATGGCACTTAACAACAACAAAACAATATTCCTTTAATTATGGAACTCAACACTCTTAGCACCAGTAGTCAGAAAACCAAAAGATGTGTTACATTGGGAAAGTCTACTGTCCGGGACTTCTCTAGAGTCCTGAAAAGGAACAATGTCAATCTGGAGACTAAGGTGCATCTGATATAGGCACAGTTACTTGCTATGCATCAGAGCACTGGACAATAACTAAGGATGATAGAAGAAATATCCATGCCTTTGAGTTGTGGTACTAGAGAAGAATGTTGAACATACTATAGAATGCCAGCAGAACAAACATCTATATCCTGGAGAGGGTGAAACCAAGCAGCTCCCTGGAGGGAAGGATTTTGAAACTTCTTCTTATGTACTTTTTGGCACATGGCCAAGAGTCTTTAGAAAAGGACATCATGCTTGGAAGGGTGAAGGGACAGCACAGGAGAGGAAGATCCATAATGAGACAGATTGACTCAGTGTCTTTAGAAATGGGCTTAGATCTGTCAGAGACAGTGAGATTGGCTCAGGAGAGGGCAATTTTTGGAGGTAATGTATGTAGAGTTACTGTAAGTCTTGGGCAATTGAAAGGCACATAACACCACCACCACCACCACCACGTTGCTAAAGTAAGGAGTTTTGGTGGCCTGTATCATTATGTATTGGGCTGCTAACTAAAAGGTCAACAGTTCTAAAACCAGCTATGCCTTTGGGAGAAAAGTGGGTATTTTCCTGTAAAGATTTACAACCTTGGTAGCTTTATGAAGGGTTACCAAGAGTTAGATGTTACTCAGCAGCTGTTATTTTTTAGTTGGGTTTTGTTTGAGAGGGGGTGTTGCCAAACTGCTACTCATGCTGTTTATAGTATCTTAATGGAACATTAAATTACAAGGGATAAAATAATTATCTTTTACCTTTAATCACTGAGAAATACTTAATGGTTTTAGCATATGAATTCATTAAATACTTTTGTCCTTTTTTACTCCACTTTTTTCAAATGGCATGTATTTTCAAGATAAGTGCCTATTGGTTTTAAATATCTGTCAATGGTCTAGAGTGACGACAACTATTTGCCTCATAAGTAATGTCATACATGAAGTACATATAACATAAATAGAAACCATTTATAAGTGTTCAATTCAATGATATGTAGTAAGTACACACATGGTAACATGTTTAAATGAAAAAAATACTACTCGAATGTGTTAGAGGGACTAAAATCATTAGGGTGGGTGTACATTATATCGTTCACATTGATGGCTACCTTTTTATAGTATTAAGACGCTAACTTTATAATTGTGTTCTTGGCCTGAATGTTGGCTATTTTTAGCCAGTACAATTAGCCTCTCTAGTACCCAGCTACCTTAGCTGCAGACACATGGTCTTGCAAATCATCAACACCTGTGGACCTAGGATAAGAGAATGCTCTTGACACTGAGCAGCAAGACTTAAGGTGAGCAAGATTTGTGCTAGCCAAGATTCAAAATGAAGAAGATTAGTGGCAACAAGATTTGAAGGATACTGGAGTAAGATCCTGGTCAGAATAAGACCCTGGTGATGGAGAGACTGTGACATTGATACTGAGAAACATTGACAAGATGTAACCTGAGGCTTCTTGTGTTTCTGCTGGCTACATTGTAAGTTTTTGCTATTCTTGCTGGATGCTTGAAAGAGAAGCTGATTTACAATTTCTCTGAGGCAAACCTTGATGGATGATTTGGATTTGATTACTGAACTGAAACCAGAGCCTGGACTAATTGAGGAATTGTGCCTTGGAACTTGGGCTAAAACCTGGACGTGTATTGAGTGAA